TAGGCACAATCTTAGCTATGAAAGATATATCAAGAAGTCTCAAACTGCTAATGGAGTAACGAAAATCACATCTGAGAAATAAAGGGCATTTTAGAGCTCATAATGGAAACTGATCTGACGACAGAAGAACTCCAAGAACTCTCAAATGAAGAATACCAAGAAACTCAGCAAGATGTGTTTTCTTTTGAAAAGAGGAAGACGAAAGAGGACCAATGTCGACATCTGCTACTAAAGATCCTTTGAAGAAGTGGAAGGATGGCATCATCGAAGTGGCATCCAAACCAGAATAAGGTTAATGGGGTTGGGGATCTCTAAAATTACAATACTACTAATTACTTCCGAAAAATCCTGAACAAAAGAGAAAAACAATTGACATTGGACATTCTTTAACCCCCACAAACGGAGAAAACATGACTAATAAAAATGCAAGACTGCATATACAGTAGAGTGTCATTTATCCGAATCAATTGGAGACTGGGGTTGTTCGGATAACCAATTGTGTACGAAAAAATATATTAACCTATCCCATCCTGAAATTTTTCTCCGTTGCCTGTCGCTTTGCGTTGAATTTTCGTCGATGTTAACCCTAACGTAAACTTTTAAAATAATAATCGTGACTATTGTATTGTTAAAAATTATTTCTTTATTTTGTAAAAACAAAATAAATTTATTGAAAAATATAAAAACAATAAAAAATTATACTTCAGAAGTTAATTTAGTATCAAAAATCGTAAAATATTTGAGTAGACAAAGATTGCAGTGCCACAGCACTAGCGAAAATTTAAATTTGCCAACTGGAATTCTTTCGGATAAACGACGCTCTACTTTATATGTATTTTTACTATTACATATATACTTTTTTACTATGTTTATTTATATGTATTTTTACTATTACATATAAATAAACGTAGTAAAAAAGTATATATTTTTTAATTTTTGGAGTCTCTGGAACGAATTAATCAAATTCCCATATAAACCTATGATAAATTGATAATCGGTTAATGAACAATTCGGATAACGAACAAAGTCTTGGAACAGATTATGTTCGTTAACCGATCACCCACTGTATATTTTTCCCAAAATGTTAAATAAGCAAGTATTTCATTACTTGGAAAATTAATAGCACCCAATTATGTTGGCACATACAAGTGGCAGTGTAAAAAATTTTTATTTCATAATTTTCTTATACCTTAATAAAAATTATACCTGAGTTATACTAATTTTCTGATTTGAGGAATTTTTGTCAAAACCATACTCTAATTAAACAAAAAAAGTTTAATTATCATTTCAAATATTAAAAGTTTTAGATAAACGTTACACAGGAATGAAGTATAGTACATTAAGTTTAATGATTCAATCTATTTTAAAGATGGTTTTTATAACTTTTGAATTACTTTTGAATTAACTTTTGATGGATTATAACTTTTGAAAACACACTACAGAATTGAAACATACATAATTGAGGAAACATAATTATAATTTCATCATAGTGTAAACAGATTAATGTCACATCAAAAATTTACTTTTATTTTGCCAATCTGCAAATATTTGAATTGTTATAATCATCCCAATAAAAATTAATTGTAAAGTTGTATTGACTTTCATTGACCAATTGACCATAGAAAATTATTTTATTGGTGTCTATTGGTTTAAATAATTTATAACCCTAGAATACTGATAGAAAATTCTATTGGTTTTATATATTGCTCTAGAATACCAAAATAAATTTTTATTGTTTTTTTTTTTTTTAACATCTGTGTTGTAGCACAATAGTACAGCATACAAGCAGGTATATCAGTCAAAGATTATTAAAGTTTTAAGTATTTTTCATATAAAAATATAATGAGAATTGTATAAATTTATAGTGTTTTAATATTGTGTATATCCTAAGTTAAAAAATCATGGAACATTGGCCGACTTGTAAGAGAAGAGTTTTGAAGAAAAATGTAACAAGTACTTGAAATGTTTCTAGTGACAAGGAGACTGAAAGTGCAGATACAAATGAAAGTAGGAATCCAGACACTAGCACTGTTTAAAATATTGAAAGAAAAAAGTTAACCCTTTATATTAATAACCAGTTTGAATTAAGTAATAATAATTATTTCCATGGTGAGAGACTTCTCTGGACTTAGTATTGAGCTTGGTCCAAAGAGATTTTTGCTGGAGGTGAAGATATTTTCGACAACTATAGTTGCACCTTGCAAATTGCAATGGTTATCAGTTTTATTTATGTTATTGATTATTGGACTAAGTCCAATGAGAACTGTATAGTGTATGGGAAGGCAAGGATGTTCCTTCTAGAAATATAAGTTGTTAGAGAATTTTCAGTTAGTCACAAAATTTTTCAAAATATTTCTAAAGTATAAAGTTCAAAACTTTCTACAGAATAGCTGAAGAAATTAACATCTAAGCATAAAAATGAAAAAGGAATAAAATAGACTTATAACAGGAGTCAAGAATTATTTTAAGAATATATATGATTAGCCAGCAAAAAATTGGAGCTCTGGCATTAACATTTTGCTCCCCACATATGATTCAAGTTTCATCAGATCTCAGACTGGTGTCAATCACCTGATGCTCTACAAAAATTATTCAGCTACCAATATTGAAAAACACCACAAATTGATTTTCATGTCATCTGTCTGTAAAAATTTTTAATTTGCTGTGTATTTCATTATTTTAAATTAAAAAGCTTTCTTTTATCTTCTTATTGATTTATTATTATTAAATTTTTAAAATTATTATTTATAAAGAATTATTAAAAATTACAATAAGAAAATGTAAAACATTGCAGGGATGCAAAAGGATTGAGTTAGAGAATGTTTAGTGTATATGTTACTGTGAAAGACCGAAATTAGAGAAAGTCAATATACTCTGGTGAATGTTGACACACACAAAATATGTCAGTGAAAGTTTGAATATTTGGTTATATTATTATACATTCAAACAATCGCTGGTGTATGTCAACAAGCACAGATAAGCTTTGGTGGAGGTCAAAACAACACCCGAGAAGCCAATGTCGACAGAGAGGCGACAGTCTATTGCAAATAATTTGTGGGTAGCTGGAGGTAGGACAAGGTCGTACCTCTTTTCCCGGCAATGATTTGGTGGAAACTGCCCACTTTGTCACTGGATGGCATTTTTGTTCTTTTGATCCCGTGAGGTAGGAATCGGTTTGTCAGGTCGAGTGGCGGTTGATGAGAGGGGTCGTCGGTAAGGCGTCGGTGATATCTGAATAAAAGACACCCTTAACAGATCAGTTCGTAATCATGTAATAACGTAATCAGTTCGTAATTTGTAAAGAAAAGTTACTTTCCATAGATGAGATTTCTTCTTAAGAAATATCGCTGAGAGAAGCAGCTGCAACTAATTCGAAAAGTGGAGGGCAAGGCTATACATGCTGTCATTGAAAAAAAGTGTTCCATGAATAAATGCAGTTGTAAAAGCAAGGGACTCTTTTGCAATTCAAAGTGCCATAACAGTTTAAGTTGTTGCAATAAATAAGATTGTATAACATTAATCACATAATTTGTGTGTAAGTTTATTATTGTATTATTTTCTTTAATGATTAAGAATGTACTGTTTGTTTTAGGTTCAACAGTTTATTTAAATGTGCTATTACTTAAGCTTTCTCCTATTTTCACATATTAAAATGTTGCATTTTTGTCTTAACATAATAAAAATATTTTTATTTAACATTCACCTTCAGTGCATGTTGAATGTCAACATTTGCTGGTGTAAGTGAGAAATAATGATATTTAGCAAATATTTTGTACATACACGAAACGACTGTGTGAATGCTGATATTCACTGGAGAATGTTGACATTCGTCAGATATCGGTCATTCACAGTAACATATAAAAATAGACATTGATTTAGTAAATTGGCTCATTCAATTCATTTGTTTAGCATATTTTTTTATTAAAATGTTTAATGTAGAACAAATATTTAAAATTTTAGTTGTTATTATTAAATTTGCCAAGTAATACATTTAATTAATTATAGGTAGTTTATTTCAAGAAATTATTTGTGAAAATTTAATATATTACTGGATCATCATTATTAATGTCATGTTAGATATTTTGTATAATTATATGTATTCCTATCCCCTCTGTTGTTGCAGATAATTGTTTAAATTTAAAATGACAGTTTTCAGTTTATATTTTGGTGATTTCCTATGAAATAACTGAATAACATTATATTTGAGATTGGAAGAAAACAATTTTATCTTTATATTTACAAGAGACTTTTGTATCAATATTTTAATACAGCATAATCAAATACTAATAAAATTTTTTATTTACAAAAATGAAAAATAATTGTATTGTGAATGTATGATCTATTATAATGCTTATATTTCCCCAAAACTAATTCTTAATTTTGAATTTAATATTACTAAAAATTTAGAAATCTTTATATTGTTCTGGATTAGAAAATTATTTCATAATTTTTCTTTTTCAAGAATTACAATGATCAGAACAATGTGAAGAAGTGGGAGAAAAGAATATATTTTTAAAATTACTTAAAAACTTTCCATAGAAACACTATAAGACAAGAAGACAACCATAATAAATTCCAGCACAAACGTTTGATGAAATTGATGGATGTTTTCAGCTTCGTTAATACACCAACTTCAGATCCAAATATCATAGACCTATAGAATTTGAAATTTGAATATTAGAATGGGTAGGTGTTTTATTTTATATTAGAACATCTATCATTTCAATATTCAAATGTGAAATTCTATAAGTTTATATTTGACCTGATGCTGGCTTATTAATGAGGCCAGAAGCATCCATCAATATCATTAAATGTTTGTGCTGGAATTTATTATGTCTTCTTATCTTCATAATTTTCAAAACTGGATTAGAAACTTCAAAGATAAACTCAAACTAAAATTAATTTTAATTAAAACTTGAATTATTATAGAAATTTATTCATAGTTTACATTTTAATTTACTGTTGAAATAATTATTAATGTATGCTATTTGCTTTAACAGAGCTTATGAAGCTGCTCTTCGGAATCACACTGGTGATGATTTATTGGAGATTTGGCACGAGTAAGTTTTAATTATGGAAAGTATAATGTAATAACATATGGCATATTATTATTTTAAAATATTTTTAATACATCAACCCATCATAGGAATTTTAGTTACTTTATAAATTACATGCCCATCTGAAAAAAAGAATACCCAACAAAAAAGACCAAAAGAACAATGCCTATGTCTTGATAACTTGTCAAATGTTTTTTTTCATATTATTGCTTGGAGTGTATTGCAGTCCCTTAACATTAATTCAATATCATCAAATAAATCAGTCTATGGAATATAAAAAGAAATAAACAATGTATTATTCAGTTGATTTGGCAAGAAGTTTAGTCCAACTTAGAAAAACAAAGATTATGAAGAATGCTAAAATATGGCAGTCTGGAGTAATGTCTCAATGGGCTATTTTTTTAATCACAATAAATTGTTTTTAATGCTGTTTAGATGATAAAGGTCATTCTGGGAGTGGGAGTGTACCGTTTTGATGATATGTTCTTTCAGATAGCATTCAATCACAATGCTATTTGTTTTATCTTTTTGATTAGAAAGAGTGGTCCATGTATGGCCAAATGCCATTCTAGGATCTTGTATACAACAATTAACTTTTTAAGTTACTGAATTATACACAAGCTTCAGCAGGCTTATCAGAAATAAGACAGGCCATTGCACTTGTGCAATTTTAGATATCTGTTATTCTCATCACTCATCAAAACTGACACTGGTGTTACGTCCTATCTATGTTTTTTTTTTTTTTTTGTTTGTTATGGAGTTTAGCCAGATATTTTTCATTGTGTTTTCATCTCTTATATTTCATTACTTATCCTACACATGCTTCTGATATTAGGGCCACCGTATTCTGGTTGTCCCAATTTCAACCCTTTTGATATTTTTTGAGAATCTACCCTATGAAGAATTATCTTAAATTGGCTTCTGTTTCATTCAATGTCTGAATTACATTAACTGCATCTTATTTCACACTTTTCCAATAGCTATTTCTGTATTTTTACTTGTAACAATAACAGTAAAAGAGTTCTTATTAAGGGAGATGTTACAACTCTCTGCACACTGGAAAATTGTGCAATATTACAAAAAATTCTGACATACCTGCCAGAATTCTGTGTATCGAGGAAAAAAATTTAAAATATGTTACTACAGCAGAAAACTACAAAAGTGAGAATCATTAGTAAGAATCTAAAATTAGAATATTTGCCAGATGTAGTCAGTAGCTTTTATAACCACTTAAAAGGAGTTTTGGGTTAACAAACTGAAATGCTGTGTCCTTCAAATCCGATGTTCACTTGAGTTCAAGAATTACTCAAATAATTAATTCTTTAACTCTGGTGAGCGTCTCATTTGAAAGACATAACATTTCATTTTTTTGCCCAAAACTCCTTTTAAGTGGTTATAAAAGTGAGAATCATTATTTTTTAGTTATTAGTAAGAAAATCAACACATTACATAATTTTCCATCAGCAAGAGTTTGAATCAAAAATGTTTTCAGTTTATTTTATTAATCTATATCTATATATATATATATATAAATATACGTGTGTGTGTCCCTATATTTCACTTTTCCACAAAAACTACACATCGCACGGGAATGGTGTTTGTATGTGGTGGTAGCCCCAAGTCTCCATTCATGCATAGAGGTGGTTGCGTCTCGATAGCTATAAGGGTGCAGGAGATATGAGGCTGAAAGTGGTTGAAAGTGGCTTTCTATTTCGAATGTTTTGTTCGAATTTTTCGAATTTGTTTGAATTAAATTCGAACATAAAATTCGAATATTGGTTTGATTATAGAACAATTGTAAACGTTCCAGAAACGTTGAAAATAGTTCGTTTGACTAAACGTAAAAATTCTCTAATTAGTCTGGAAACGGGGGACTTAATTCTTGCATTCTGTGAAAACGGGTAAGATTAGCTATAATGTAATTATCTTAATCTTCACTATCGTTACTTTTTGCCCAGAGAAGCGGGTCCTTGCAGCTAGTAATTAAAAAAATTAATAATTAATTAATAATTAATCTGTAAGATTATTGAAGGACAATTGCCATGCATTAGAAGAGGATTCCGAGTCTTTATAATTAATACAATTATTTTTTAATGTGGACTTGAACATTTTCAATGTTTCCAGTGTTCTTAAGCAATGTTTATCATAGACTGTATCATTCTTGCTTCATTTAGATTTGCAGACACCCTGGGCTTTGTTGCATATTGAACTAAAATGTTTGTTGGTTTGTTGTTATCTATGTCGTATTTCTATTCATTGATTCTGCATTTTAAAGATCTAATTGTTGACCCAATTTACATAAGTTGGTGGTTAAATCTTTCATTTGTTATTGGGATTGAATATACACTTGGTGTGTTGTTGCTGTCTATTTCATCTTTACTGTTGTGTAGCAATTTGTAGATTGTGGCATTTCTACAGAAGCATAAGCTGGCATTGAAATATTTAGTAGCAATTTGTTTATAAATCAATTTGAGTTTATTATCAAAGTCCTACAGATTAATTATTTATACATGAAAAAAATGCATAGGCATATGGAATTCCTATGGTTTACTTCATTGTATTTTTATTTTATTTTAAATTTTATTATTTATGTACTCATTTCATTAATATATAATTGTTCAAAAATATATATTTATGTATACACATTTACAATGTTTAAAGAAAAATGTTATACAGTAAATAACATCATTGAATATTTGAAAACATTCCAATTTGGGAATTTTGAATTGTATAATTTCAAACCTGATGCAGGTTTATAAAAATAAACCAAAAACGTTTGTGATACAAACTCTTTGTGGTAGAAAATTATGTAAGGTATTACTAGTTATCCATTTAATTTTCTTACTAGTTATCCATTCCAGTTGTAATTTTGATTTTTTAGTTATTTTTTGGATAAAACAGGATAGCCTGTTAATTAGAAAAATGAAAATTACAAAGTTAATTTGCAAGGACACACTTGACTATTGGACTGAAAATCTGTGGAATATTGCTTTAGAAATTGTACTCCAATGTTCAAATTTGTTTTATATCCTGACAACACACCTTTGAAGCACTGCTGGAGATTTATTGGGTAGTCAATTTTAAATTCTAGTAAATCATTAATCAGTTATCAACTAAGAATTCGAGCCCAGGAATTGAATGTGACAAAATTGAAAATTATTGTTCCTGGGTTTGACAATGTATCTATCTGTTCCAAATAATTTATAAAATGTTTATGTATATAAAATACTTTTCTGCATCTTTGATATATCAGTGCTATGTTTTTTACTGCATCCAGCTCAATATTTATTTCCTGCCATATTCAGATTTTAAATCTTTTAAAATTAGACTAATTTATTTGATTCACAGTCCTTTATGTAAACTTGTGGTTATTGCATTGTCTTAGAGTACATTGAAATTTGATATGTTTTATCATCTTGCGGTTTGACCATCATGCTCATCTGTTGTTTATTGGGCTCAAAGATGTTTTCCAATATGCCAACTGCACCATTGAAGTTTTGTTCTCCTCATAAGATTGGTTTAATTTCTATCAATATTTGGTAGACTTGAATAAAAGGCATAGTTTTATAACTATGCCTTTTATTCAAGTTTTTGTTGGATCTTGCCCAAATTGCTCCTGATCAGCCTTCCATTTCTTCTTTTTTTCTTTAGAGAAAAAGATTGTTCTACCAAACAAGCTGAGCTCAAAATTTTGATGGTCAACTCAACTCCTGTTTGTATTTAGAGATTTTTGTAATTTGAAATAGTCTTGGTCTTGTCCATTTTGCTAGAAATTGTTATTGTTTGTATTATTTTAAAATATTACCTTTTATTGTAATAAATTTCTTAATCTACAGTTCAATTGCTTAATATTCAATTGGTTTTTATTTGAATGCTCTCATTTTAATAATAGATAAATGAAAACATATCTGACATACTATGTATCTATTATTATTGCAGAGGTAATTTAATTTAAAAAATGCGCTTTGCCCATATTGGCTCAATGCACTGCTTGTCTGTCGAAACCTTAGCTCAGTATTTCCAAATAGCTGAGTTTTGACAAACTAGGGAGAAGTTTGTCAAAGAAAGAAAGGTTAAAATCCAACTGTTAGAACTGGATGTGACCATCTGCAACTAATCATAATACTTTTCCTAAAAAAATTCTTAGACCAACAATATTTACCCATATTCTGTAATATTTTAACTGACTACAATTGGTTTTTTTGTAACTACTTTGCATTAACATTATCAAAATTTGATGTTATATTTTTTTGGGGGTCATACATATTCAATACATATTTTTATTTGAAACTCAGTTTTATTTAGACAATATAATCATTTTTATACTGTATGTTATACATAATTTATAATTTAATCCAACTTTAAGTGAAACTATTCACTTAAGCTGATTACTTAATTTTCATAACATGCACTCATTCTATCCTCCTTTTTATAGAAAACATTTCCAATATTAATTTTTTTAACTAGACTGTATTAAAATTGAATGCTTTGTTATATTTATACTTTACTGTTATACTTTACTTTTATTTTACTTTATTATATTGCATCTTTAATATATTAAATGTTTGTTGAAGAATTTGATTTTCATAAGAATTTAAATTTATAGAAAGTCATTGTTTGTGTGTGTGTTTTTTTTTTAAGATATATTTTTTGGGTTGAGCAAAATTATCCTACTGGTGGAAAGGAAAGTGGAATATGGAAGTTACTTGAATCTTGTGTTATTGCATTTAATGATAAAGAACAGTATTATAATAATGAAAAGTATATTGAGATTTGGATTAAATATGTAAGTAGTAAACTAATAAATAAAATTATTTTTGACAATTTTATGACAAACAGATCTGTTTTGTACAATTTTCTAGGCAAATGCTCATCCTGATGCAATAGAAATATTTAGATATATGTACAGTCATAAGATTGGTTGTCAGCATGCAATATTTTATGAAAATTGGGCTTGGTCATTAGAGAGCATGGGAAATTTTAAACATGCTGATGAAGTTCTAACAGAAGGCATTCAACAAAATGCACAACCTGTGGTAAAATTAATAGAGAGACAAAGGTATGTGATTAAGATATGAACATTATAATTAAACATTAATGAAATAATAATGTGAATTCAATATTTAGGTAGATAATCAATTTTAAAATTGTATATGTGCTTGCAGGAAACTTCAAGAAAAACTAGTGAAAGAAATTAAAAAAAATTTAGAAATGCTTTCAGATGAAAATGCAGTTCAGGAATCACGAACAGCACTTGGCCTTTTAAATTTTGATAGACAAAACACAGTTCCGTTAAATAGAAGTGAAGCAATCATTGGTATTTATATAAAAATTAATGTTTGATATATTTCTTAACATTTAAAAATAATTATAAGAATTATATATGAAGATTTTTAATAGAATTTAAAAAATTTATTTTTAATGAAAGAGTATAGATCATATTAATACAGTATCAATATAGTGTTATGAAAATTATCGTTATTTTAATATATTGTAAATAGTGTAATACAAACAATACAGTCAAACTTAATATGTTCCACCGTTTTTATTTCATAGTTATGTATCCATGGTGGCCAAACTGTGCCTTGTGAGCTGCATGCAGCTCTTCTAGATCCTTACTGTTTCTCCTGTATACTTATAAAACTTCTTTTTATAAACTTAGTACATTCCATATTATACTTTTGTCAACTTTGGGTGTTCTTGTGAACTAGGACTTGTTACACTGAGGGAAGAGAAACACAAATAATTTTTAACTTGTAAGCACAATGCCAGCCTTTCTTTATTTCTAGGCTTATTACATCAACATTTGACACTTGACATTTGATTTAAGTTTCCTGACTATTATATAGTGCAGATGTTTCTAACTTATTTTTTATCACAGAACCCTTTCCACCCTAATAAAAAATGTTGGAACCCTGACAATAACAAATGTTCAAACCCTGCAGATATTAATAAATTAAAGCATATTAGGTAGCCACTTTACTCCAAAACCAAAAGTAAAACTACAATTAAATATAATCAAAATTAATTAATTAAAATTGAAATCAAATCAATTGAAAATTAAAACAATGTTTTTAAAAACCATTTAAAAGTTGTTTTGAAATTTTCAAATTGTAAATCAAATTTATTTTTAAATTTACATTATTTGTGTGAGGTGTGCAGTGTGACAGAACATTTTGCTTTTAATATATATACAGATTTAACAATTGTATTTTTATTTATATGTTTGATCCTTTCTAAGGTTATGATTTTTTTTTTTATTTTATAGCTTTTGTTTGTTTTATTGTTTTTATGGTTTCTATTACCTTGTTAATTTAAACATTATATCATGATTTAGTTTGTTCCATTACCAATAAATTGGTCCCCACTGTTTATAAAGCTATAAGTAACTTTAGCATGTGTATAGTCTCGGATCGAGTCCTCATATTGTCATACAAGGACTCAATCTGGGACTAGAACAATTACGCTTCACCTTTTAAATCTGCATTGGCACAGTCATACATCACTAGACTCAGCAGATTTTACTGTGGAGCCCCAAATTTTTAGTAGAACCCTTGACATAATGTATAATATACACAGTGATTGTAAGTGTAACCTTTTAACTTAACCTCAAACAAGCAACTGAAAGCTTAATATACGTTCATAAAGTTGAAGGAGTTAAGTGATTGACTAAGTAAACAGTCAGTCATAAAATACCAGTAAAGGAAAGGTGATATTTATTATAGAACATAAAACTTTAGTGTAATATTTTAATATATACTTAAAATGTATATATGTGAGATCTGACTCCCCGTTTTTTCATTTCCACTTTCGTTTGACCTGCATTTTGACTGGGTCAGTGGATGGTGTTCTTCTGATACTGAATGTTACGATTACAAATATATTTTTTGTAATTAAGTAAAGAAATAACATAATTTTTATTGAGGCAGAGGGCAACAGAAAGCTCAAGTGGTGAAAAGGTGATGAAGTGGAAAAACTCCACTTCCTTTTCTTTCCACTCGCAATACTCTGATAGATAAAACCAATCAAATATCCTTATGAATCAACAATCATTATGATGATTGGACTTATGTTAAAACCTTAATCAAAACATTTGATTATTAATGATAGGAAACTGTCAAATGGATGAAATTATCAGGTAAGATGAGTGAGTCACAATAATGGCCGGAAAGTATCAATAATTTGGCTGAATCGTCTGGTTCCTGACAGCTCATGTGAGCCGAACCCAAACAAGGCTAGAACTTAAACCACATTAAATCAAAGTGACTTGAGTCAATTCTCATGTGCTGCAAGTATAAAAAGGGCAAGTATAAATATAAAAACCAAGTATATCAGGGCGAGTGTCGAAGAAGAACAAACCCCCTACTAAACCCCCTATTCATTGCCTCGCTGGACTAAAGGAAAGGCAATTAAGAAAGTATCACTTTTGCAACAGTGCTGAATGAGATATTGATGTTGAAGTTTTTATGTAAACTCTCTCTCTCTCTTGGTTGACTTAGAAATTAAGTTAGATTTAGTCTTTAAGGAAGTAGCTACCCTCGAGAACTATCCATTTTTCTCTGATAAATGGAACTCATATTAATGTTATGTTGCCTTACTATGTAACTTTGTTATGTTGTCTCTGTAATCTCTTTTATTGTTTATATTAAATGTGTTAAGTTTATCTGAATGGTTGTAGTAATTCATGTATTGCTGACACCTTATCAGCGATCTTGCTGACCTTTCCACTCGCGTCAGAAAACGGGCTTAACCTCACGCCTTAACCTCCAATTTCTCACATATATAATACAGTAGAGCGTTGATTATTTGAAAGTCAATTATCCAAAATGTCAATTATCCAAAAGAATTCCAGTCGGCAAATTTAAATTTTTGCCAGTGCTGTGGCGCTGCAATCTTTGGCTATGTCTTGGGCTACTCAAATATTTTACGTTTTTGATACTAAATTAACTTCTGAAGTATAATTTTTTATTGTTTTTATATTTTTCAATAAATTTATTTTGTTTGTACAAAATAAAGAAATAATTTTTAACGATACAATAGTCTTCGTTAGGCTTAACATTGACGAAAATTCAACGCAAAGCTACACGCAACAGAGAAAAATTTCAATATGGGATAGGTTAATATGTTTTTTCGTACATAATCGGTTATCCGAAATATGAATTTTCCGAACAACCCCAGTCCCCAATTGATTCAGATAATCGACATTCTACTGTACTAGCTATTTTCTAGGAAAACAAAACTTAAGATTTTTCTGTTTCAGTTTCACATGAAAATGTAAATACAGTGACATAATTTTAACATTGTGTAAAGCAATTTAAATCATGCAGGTTTTAGGGAGGGTATTAATATCTGGTATTATAACCACAAAAACATCAAGAAACTTTTAAAACATGCACATGTGTTGTTGCAAGTAATGCATGTTAAATGCCTGTCATAAAGATCAAAGTGAAAAAACTGTTGTAGTGATCAATGTAAATTGACAGCAATTGGAAACTTGATTGACTTGTAGCACATGACCAGCTTGCAACCAACAATCAGCACATAGACATTCATATGGAAAACTTTGACCTTGACTATCTCAGACCATAGATTGAATTTCAAAATTCCAACTTTGCCATGACATTGGCCTTGCTGAATTGTACATATTTGCAAAAATCATGTTTAGTGGTTACTTTAAACGTCAATCTCAGACAAAACATTTTCTGACATGTAGAGTTCTACTCAAGAAATACAGTACTGTATATGATACAACTTTTCAATAGGCATTCTAGCATAGGATGTAATTCTCATGTATTTCTGATAGGCATTGTATGGCTTCTATCATGACATTGTTTGGCTAACCCTGATATATACTATATATGTTAGTGTATAAGTTGACTTTTTAAACTTCTGAAAAACTAGGAATTAATTGGGTATAGAATAAAAATTTTTTCCACAGAACAATAGATAAATGGAACAACACTCCTAACAATTGATCTACACCTTTTACCATAACTCCAGAAGGCTACAAATATTCAAGTAAAACTGTTTTCAGAATTTATTTAACAGAAATTAATATAATTATAAAACTTATATAAATAAACACTATCACACTGTTTTCAACAGTTGAAGTACTAACTGCATTACAGTACTAATTAAAGACATATTACTGTGTTCTACTGTCATATACTATATCTAACAAGTACTGTGTTGTGTAAAATATAGTTTATTGGATGTATTAATTTTGGCTCAAATGTCTTTAGCAGCAAATGTGATAGAGCAGGGGTGGCCAACTTTTGTATACATAAGATCTACTTTTTATCTTAAAAATGTGTCTCAATTGACTCGTTGTTGTAGGCATAGTCTAAGTCAGAGATGTGCATTCCACGGCCCAAGTTGCATAAAATGTGTATAAATATATCAATTTCCTAACTTAAGAAGTATGCAGCAAAAATTCAAACGTTATTTTTTACAACTTATGTGTGTGAATAGTTTTTCCTGCAACGAATTTAGTAAAAATTAAAACGAGAAACCGGCTAACAGACTCACCTTGAAACTAATTTAAAACTAACAGTGACTAATATTTAATCAAATATTTTTGATACATTACATTTACATTAGTTCTAGAAGCTAAATTAAGTATACCTATTCTTTTTTATAATTATATATGAATAAATAATTGTGATTTACCGGCATTTTCCCTCCTCTTTTATTTTGTATGTGGCCGGTGTTAGTTCAAAAGTTTTGAAATGCGGCCCTTACACAGAAAAAGGTTGCCCATCCCTGGTCTAAATGCGAGGGGGAGGGAGGTGTGAAATACATACTAAGTTTAGATAGAAAAGAAAAGCCACAATTTAATTTAAAACACAAAGAAAAGGTACTTACATTTTAAACAGAAGAAAAATTGAAACTCAACGTTGTCACTTTCGGGGACCACCACTTCACCCTTCTTCTCTCTACCGTGTCCCGACCTACTCTCTCTGTCCCTTCTTTTTTTCGGTTTTACAACCCTTTGTCTACATTTCTTATTCCCATTTTACAACTATATGCAAATGGATTGCATGTGGACCGACAAAACCTCATCTGAGGGAGAACGAGGAGGTCCTATATCACTACAGTTGCATTTGCGCATTACGTTCACGCGTTGCGTTTGGTTACAACTTACAAGTGTAACACATTAAGTCAAGACATCGCGAGCGATCGACCAAAATTGGTTTTGCAATCGACTTGTTGGCCACCCCTGTGATAGAGTAATAGCATGTAATAGAGTTCTTACCAAAATACTTTACTAAAGATTTTTAACAGTTGCTTATAGATTCTATTGTTTAAATCCATTCT